ACATAATTATCAGATTCACAAGGGTTGAAATGAAGGAGAAAATGCTAAGGGCAGCCAGAGTGAAAGGTCGGGTTACCCGCAAAGGGAAGCCCATCAGATTCACAGCAGATCTCTCAGCACTGTCAATATTAGACAGATTAACCAGACAGAAAATTAACAAGGATATCCAGGACTTGAACTCAGACCTGGAACAAGCAAACCTGATAGACATTTACAGAACTCTCCACCCCAAATCCACAGAATATCCATTCTTCTCAGCACCACATCACACCTACTCTAAAATTGACCACATAATTGGAAGTAAATCACTCCTCAGCAAATGCAAAAGAATGGAAATCATAACAGTCTCTCAGACCACAGTGCAATCAAGTTAGAACTCAGAATTCAGAAACTAACTCAGAACTGCACAACTTCATGGAAACTGAACAACTGGCTCTTGAATGCTGACTGGATAAACAATGAAATGAAGGCAGAAATAAAGAAGTTCTTCGAAACCAATGAGAACGAAGACACAACATACCAGAATCTCTGGGACACATTTAAAGCAGTCTCTAGAGGAAAATATATAGCAATAAGTGCTCACATGAGAAGAGTGGAGAGATACAAAATTGACAGCCTATCATCAAAATTGAAAGAGCTAGAGGAGCAAGATCAAAAAAACTCAAAACCTAGAAGAAGACAAGAAATAACAAAGATCAGAGCAGAACTGAAGGAGATAGAGACACGAAAAACCCTTCAAAAAATCAATAAATCCAGGAGCTGGTTTTTTGGAAAGATCAACGAAATAGACAGACCACTAGCCAGATTAATAAAAAAGAAAAGAGAGAATAACCAAATAGATGCAATAAAAAAGGATAAAGTGGAAATCACCACAGATCCCACAGAAATTCAAATCATCATCAAACAACTCTATGCATATAAACTAGTAAACTTGGAAGAAATGGATAAATTCCTGGACACCTGCATCCTCCCAAGCCTAAACCAGGAATAAGTTGAAACCATGAATAGACCAATAACAAGATCTGAAGTTGAGGCAGCAATTAAGAGCCTACCACACAAGAAAAGCCCAGGTCCAGATGGATTCACAGCCGAATTCTACCAGACACACAAAGAAGAACTGTTACCATTCCTCCTGAAACTATTCCAAGTAATCCAAAAAAAGGAAATCCTTCCCAAATCATTTTATGAGACCAACATCATCCTGATACCAAAACCAGGCAGAGACTCAACAAGAAAAGAAAACTTCAGGCCAATATCCATGATGAACATAGACGCAAAAAATCTTCAATAAAATACAGGCAAGCTGATTGCAACAGCACATCAAAAAGCTTATCCACCATGATTAAGTAGGATTCATCCCGGGGATGCAAGGCTGGTTCAACATACGCAAGTCTATAAACATAATTCACCAAATAAACAGAACCAAAAACAAAAACCACATGATTATCTCAATTGATGCAGAGCAGGCCTTTGACAAAATTCAACAGCCCCTTATACTAAAATCCTCAATAAACTCGGTATTGATGGAATGTATATCAAAATAATAAAAGCTATTTACGACAAACCAACAGCCAATATCATACTGAATGGGCAAAAACTGGAAGCATTCCCTTTGAAATCTGGCACTAGACAAGGACGCCCTCTCTCACCACTCCTATTCAATATAGTACTGGAAGTTCTAACCAGAGCAATCAGGCAAGAAAAAGAAATAAAGGGTATTCAAATAGGAAAGGAGGAAGCCAAATTGTCTCTATTTGCAGACAACATGATTGTATATCTAGAAGACCCCATTGTCTCAGCCCAAAATCTCCTGAAACTGATAAGCAACTTCAGCAAAGTCTCAGGATACAAAATCAATGTGCAAAAAGCACAAGCATTCATATATACCATTAACAGACTTAAAGAGAGCCAAATCAAGAATGAACTGCAATTCACAATTGCTACAAAGAGAATAAAATACCTAGGAATACAACTCACAAGGAACCTAAGGGACCTCTTCAAGGAGAACTACAAACCACTGCTCAAAGAAATAAGAGAGGACACAAACAGATGAAGAAACATTCCATGTTCATGGTTAGGAAGAATCAATATCGTGAAAGTGGCCATACTGCCCAAAGTAATTTACAGATTCAATGCTATCCCCATCAAGCTACCAATGACCTACTTCATGGAACTGGAAAAAACCACCTTAAACTTCATATGCAACCAAAAGAGAGCCCGCATAGCCAAGTCAATTCTAAGTAAAAAGAACACAGCAGGAGGCATCACACTACTGGACTTCAAACTATACTGCAAGGCTACAGTAATCAAAACAGCATGGTACTGGTACCAAAACAGAGATATAGACCAAAGGAACAGAACAGAGGCATCGGAGGCAACACAACATATCTACAACCATACAACCTTTGATAAACCTGACAAAAACAAGCAATGGGGAAAGGATTCCCTGTTTAACAAATGGTGTTGGGAAAACTGGCTAGCTATGGACAGAAAGCAGAAACTGGACCCCTTCCTGACGCCTTACACTAAAATTAACTCCAGATGGATTAAAGACTTAAACATAAGACCTAACACCATAAAAATCCTAGAAGAAAATCTAGGCAAAACCATTCAGGACATAGGAGTAGGCAAGGACTTCATGACCAAAACACCAAAAGCATTGGCAACAAAAGCCAAAAGAGACAAATGGGACCTAATCAAACTCCACAGCTTCTGCATGGCGAAAGAAACAGTCACTAGAGTGAATCAGCAACCAACAGAATGGGAAAAAATTTTTGCAGTTTACCCATCTGACAAAGGGCTGATATCCAGAATCTACAAAGAACTCAAACAGATTTACAAGCGAAAAACAACCAAGCCCATTCAAAAGTGGGCAAAGGATATGAACAGACACTTTACAAAAGAAGACATACATGAGGCCAATGAACGTATGAAAAAATGCTCATCATCACTGGTCATAAGAGAAATGCAAATCAAAACTACACTTAGATACCATTTCACGCCAGTTAGAATGGCGAGCATTAAAAAATCTGGAGACAACAGATGCTGGAGAGGATGTGGAGAAATAGGAACACTTTTACACTGCTGGTGGGAGTGTAAATTAGTTCAACCATTGTGGAAGACAGTGTGACTATTCTTCAAGGACCTAGAAATAGAAATTCCACTTGACCAGCAATCCCATTACTGGGTATATATCCAAAGGATTATAAATCGTTCTACTATAAGGACACATGCACATGAATGTTCATTGCAGCACTGTTTACAATAGCAAAGACCTGGAATCAACCCAAATGCCCAACGATGATAGACTGGACAGGGAAAATGTGGCACATATACACCATGGAATATTATGCAGCAATCAAAAACGATGAGTTCATGTCCCTTGTAGGGACATGGATGAACCTGGAGAACATCATTCTCAGCAAACTGATACAAGAACAGAAAATGAAATATCACATATTCTCACTCATAGGCAGGTGTTGAATAATGAGAACACATGGACACAGGGAGGGGAGCACTACACACTGGGGTCTGTTGAGGGGAATAGGGGAGGGACAGTGGGGGGTGGGGAGCTGGGGAGAGATAGCATGGCAAGAAATGCCAGATATAGCTGAAGGGGAGGAAGGCAGCAAATCATACTGCCACATGTGTACCTATGCAACTATCTTGCATGTTCTTCACATGTACCCCAAAACCTAAAATGCAATTAAAAAAATTAAAAAAAAAAAAAAGAAAGAAAGTAACCTTTACTTGGCTGGGCATAGTAGCTCATGCCTGTAATCCCAGCACTTTGGGAGGCCAAAGTGGGTGGATCACTTGAGGCCAGGAATTCAAGACCAATCTGGCTAACATAGTGAGACCCTGTCTCTACTAAAAAATACAAAATTAGCCAGGTGTGGTGGCACATGCCTGTAATCCCAGCTACTCAAGTGGCTGAGGCAGGAGAATCACATGAACCTGGGAGGTGGAGGTTGAAATGAGCTAATATTGTGCTACTGCAGTCTAGCCTGGGCAACAGAGTGAGACTCCGTCTCAAAAAAAAAAAGTAACCTTTACTTAAATGAAAGAATGGCCACCCCGTAGGCAGAACAGCAGCATGGGGTACTCACTGGCTATTTTTCTGGTTATTTCTTGATTATATGCAAAACAAGGGGTGGATTATTCATGAATTTTCCAGGAAAGGGGTGTGCAATTTCCAGAAATGAAGTTTCTTCTCCGCTTTAGACCATATAGGGTAACTTCCTAATGTTGCCCTGTCATTTGTAAACTGTCATGGTGCTGATGGGAATGTATTTTAGCATGCTAATGCATTATAATTAGCATATGATGAGCAATGAGGATGACCAGAGGTCACTTTCATGGACATTTTGGTTTTGGTGAGATGTGGCCGGCTTCTTTATCACATGCTGTTTTATCAGCAAGGTCTTTGTGATATGCACCTTGTGCTGACCTCCTATCTCATCCTGTGACTAAGAATCCTACTGGGAATGCAGCCCAGTAGGTGTCAGACTTATTTTACCCTGCCCTATTCAAAACTCCAAAAGATGGAGTTTCTCTGGTTCAAATGCCTCTGACAGTTATCTGTCAGACTTCTCCCTTTATCAATAAAGGGAGAAGAATATCGCCTGATAGATTGTAAGAGTCAGACAGAGGAGGTGGTAAACAGTATGGGCTCTGGACTGGTTCATTTGCATATGAAAGGCACAGACCCCAGTGAGGTGAGTCCCTAACTACCTCTCAGAATCAGCTAGTCTAGGAGGGGCAGTCTATCTCCAGTCAGCTGGGCCTCAGATGCCAGAGTATCAAGAACACAGAAAGGAAGACAGTATATTAATACAGGGGGACTTGACTCTCTCAAACTGGGTGTGACTTTAGCGAGATAGTAAATCCAGGCATTTTCCTCCCTCTACAGAACCAGAGGAATGGGGAGCAAAGCTGAAGCTGTGGATGCTCTTTCCATGGTGTTTTAGATTTGACCTTTTTTTTTCTTTTTTTGACAGGGTTTTGCTCTGTCACCCAGGCTGGAGTGCAGGGGTGCAATCATGGCTCACTACAGCCTTGACCTCCTGGGCTCAGGAGGTCACCTCAGCCTCCTGAATAACTGGAACTACAGGTGTGCTACTGATACAGAACAGCTGGGCTCCCACCTAAACCCCAGCCTCAAGCCTGGAACCTCTGCCTAAGTGAAAACAGCTGACCCCGCTTTTCTACCCAAATGATTGCCTTTTTGGCCTCCCACGACCCTATCCTGTGCCCATAAAAACCAGATCGACTGGCAGAAGAAAAGGGCAACACAAGTGGCTGATACAAGTTGTCGGGGATATAAGTAGCTGAGTGGCAAGTGGAGGATAAACAACTTAGCACTGGAGACTATGGACAAACGCGGCTCACTTCAGACAGTGCGGCCTCAGGGAAAGACCACCTTCTTCTTTGCCAGCTCCTCTTCCATCAGCAGCTACTTCCACTGCTCAGTAAAGCCTGCATTCATCACCTTTCAAACAGTTTGTGTGACCTGATTCTTTCTGGACACTGAGCAAGAACTTGGTTGTCAAAAAGGGCAGGTGCAGGAGGCTGTCACCCTGACCCTGCACTGAGCTGTTAACACTTAGCCATCCACGGACTGCAGGCTAAGTGAAATGAGCCATGAAGGGGATCAAGGTCAAGGGAACGAATCCCATCTTACTACCATGCCCGGCTAATTTTTGTATTTTTTGTAGAGATGGAATTTCACCATGTTACCCAGGCTCATCTCAAACTCCTGGGCTCAAGTGATCTGCTAATCTCCCTAATCAGATTCGTTCTTAAGGAAATGAAAATTTAATTTTTCAAAATGTGAAAAAGACCATCTTGTGCCCTAACCACCACACCCCCCCACCGGCAGCTCCTGCAGCACAAGTGCCCAGCACACCACTGTTTGTGGGATGCACTCCACACAGGCTACAGTTCCACACTTACAGCTACAGGCCGGGAGGGAACTCCTGCACCAATAGCCTGGATCATGGCGTCCTCTGGTATTACTATTCCAAAACCCTCAAAGATAAGCCATTCTTACCTTACATGAGGTACAGCAGAAATGTCTGGGCAGGGGTCAAGGCTTCCAATACTGACCTGAAATTGATGAAACTTTGTGGAATGTGGGGAGATGTCACTGATGAAGAAAAACAAAAATATTTAAATGAATATGAGGCAACAAAGATAGAGTAGAATAATTCTATGAAGGTCTGTCATAATTTCCCCTTACACTTTGCTTACATAAATGCAAAAAATTAATGCAGAATATGCTTTATTTTATTTTTTTAGACAGTCTCACTCTGTCATTTCAGGCTTGAGTCCAGTGCAGGAGTCACGGCTCACTGCAACCTCTGCCTCCTGGATTCAAGCTATTCTCCTGCCTCAGCATCCTGAGTAGTTGGGATTACAGGCATGCACCACCATGCCCAGATAATCTTTTGTATTTTTAGTAGAGACTGGGTTTTGTCGTGTTGGCCAGGCTGGTCTTGAACTCCTGGCCTCAAGTGATCCACCCACCCTGGCCTTCCAAAGCACTGGGATAATAGGTCTGAGCCACTGTGTCCAGGCATAGAAGCTGCTTTAGAGGAAAGAATTTGACAGAAGCCATCTCACATGGAGAAAGGAGAACCTCTGTTCTTTATTGATAATGCCAAATGCTGGCGAGGATATGGAGCAACAGGAACTCTCATTCATTCCTGGGGGAATGCAAATGGTTCAGCTCCTTTGGAAGGCAGTTTGACAGCTTCTTGCAAAATTAAACATACTCTTACCGTGGAACCCAGCAATTTGCACTCCTTGGTATTTTTTAATTTTTTTGGTAGAGCACTCAGCCTGCTGAAGATCCAGATGTTTATGATGATGGGTTACTTATTTAACAGACTTTTAAATGGTAGTTTTAGGTCCTCAGCAAAATTGAGCAGACAGTACAGAGTTCCCTCACATTCTTGTCCCCTCCAGCATTCCCACTATCAATATCATGCACCATGGTGGTAACATTTGTTACAATCAATGAATCTCCATTAACACACCATTTTCACCTAAAGTCTAGAATTTTCATCAAAGTCACTCTTGGTATTGTACATTCCATAGATTTGGACAAATGTGAAATGACGCCAGGCACGGTGGCACATGCCTGTAGTCCCAGTTATTTGGGAGGCTGAGGTGGGAGGATCACTTGAGCCCAGGAGTTCTGGGCTATAGTGCACTATGCTGATTGGGTGTCTGCACTAAGTTCGGCATCAATATGGTGACCTCCCAGGAGCAGGGGACCACCAGGTTGCATAAGGAGGGGTGAACCAGCCCAGGTCAGAAACAGAGCAGGTCTAAACTTCCATGCTGATCAGTAGTGGGATCGTACCTGTGAATAGCCACTGCACTCCAGCCTGGGCAACATAGTGAGATCCAGTCTCAAAAAAAAAATATGTAATGACAGGTTTCCTTTATAGTATCATGAGAGTATTTTCGCTGCCTTAAACATCCTCTGTGCTGTCTGCTCATCTCTTCTTCCCTAATCCCTGGTGACCACTGATCTTTTTACTCTCTTCATGGTCTTGCCTTTTCTAAAATGTCATATGGTTGAAATCACATAGTATGCAGTCCTTTCAGAGAGCTTCTCTCATTTAGTGACAGGTATTTATGTTTCTTTATAATGCCAAATAATAGTTCATTGTCTGGTTGTTTATTTATCCACTCACCTACTGAAAAACATCTTCATTACTTCCAAGTTTTGGCAACTATGAATAAAGCTGCTATAAGCATCCATGTGTAGATTTTTATATGAACATAAATATTCAACTCATTTGGATAAATACCAAGGAGTACAATTGCTGTGCTGTATGGTAAGAGTATGTTTAATTTGGAAAAAACTGCCAAACTGTCTTCCAAAGTAGCTGAACAATTTTGCATTCCCATTAGCGATGAATGAGAGTTCCTGTGGCTCCATATCCTTGCCAACATTTGGCATTATCAGATTGGGTCTGGCCATTTTGATAGATATATAGTGGTATCTCATTGTTTTAATTTGCAATTCCCTACAGACATACATGTTAAGCATCTTTTTTTTTCTGAAAAAAAAAAGAGAGAGACAAGATCTTGCCCTATTGCCCAGGCTGGAGTGCAGTGACATGATTATAGCTCATGAGACTGCAGTCTCAGCCTCCTGAGATCAAGCTATGCTCCTGTCTCAGCTTCCTAAGTAACTGGGACTACAGATGTGTACCACCATGCCCAGCAGCTTTTCTTTTTTCTTTTTCTTTTTTTTTTTTTTTTTTGTAGAGACAGGGTTTCACTTTATTGTGCAGGCTGGTCTTGAATTCCTGACCTCAAGCCATCCTCCCACCTCAGCCTTCCAGTGTTGGGATTACAGTTATGAGCCACTGTGGCTGGCCTGAGCATCTTTTCCTATGTTTAATTGCCATCTATACATCTTCTTTGGTAAAGTGTCTGTTCAAATCTTCTGTCCATTTTTAAATCAAGTTGTTGGTTTTTTAAATCAAGTTTAAAGGTTCTTTGTAAATTTTGTATAAGTCCTTTATCAGATATGTCTTTTGCAAATATTTTTTTTTCTAGTCTGTGACTTGTCTTCCTGTGAAGAATTATTTCTTTCGTGGATCACGCTTTTGGTATCATATCTAAAAAGTTCTCACCATACCCAAGCTCAGCTGGATTTTCTCCTGTCTTTTTTTTTTTTTTTTTAACTCTGTCACCCAGGATAGAGTGCAATGGCACAATCTTGGCTCACTGCAACCTCCACTTTCCAGGTTCAAGTGATTCTCCTGCCTGAGCCTCCTGAGTAGCTGGGATTACAGGTGCCTGACACAATGCCTGGCTACTTTTTTTTTTTTTTTTTGTATTTTTAGTAAAGAGGGGGTTTCACCATGTTGGTTAGGCTTGTCTTAAACTCCTGACCTCAACTGATCCGCCCACCTCAGCCTTCCAAAGTGCTAGGGTTACAGGTGTAAGTCACCGCGCCCGGCCCTATGTTATCTTTTAATGATGGCTTCTCAGTGAACCATAGAGACAGTATTCATTTCCAGAGAAACTACCACTTCATTGGTGGATTACTTAATAAGAGGACATTGCCAGACAATCATCAGTTGTCACAACAGCTAGAATGGAAGTTCTCAAACAACAAGATCCAGTCCTTAATGGTCCATCAGCAAAAACTAAAAGCCAAATTTTTTCAAATAGAAGAGGAACATCAAGAAAAGAAAAAGAAATTCCTGGAAAGCACAGATTTATCTAAGAATAAACTTTAAAGGTTTATTAAAGGTTGTGTGGATTGAAAGTTCAAGTGAGTATGGAGAAAATTGCAGTTGACAAGGCAGAGGCAGAGGAACAAAACTACAAAAGGCAGAAAAAAGGGAGAAAGAGGTGGCAGAGAAAGCTGAATGCCTCAGAGCAGAACTTTCTGAGGAAGAGCAGGTGGCTGATAAAACCAAAGAAAAGAAGAGAGCAAGAGTGTTCCAGTGGAGACCACCTTGAAGAAATGCCAGAAAGCCAACGGACTGGTGAATAAGGCACATCTACTGAGGATAAGGTGAGTGGACAGGAGGGAATCAATCATGCAGCAGAGGAAGGAACCAGTGGGAGTATCATTGGCTCATAGGGCAACAGTGCCACAGGGAGGAAGTCACTGACAGATCCCTTACCAGTAGAGGAGAAAAAAGAATAAAGATTGTCTAGTTTCCATTTTATTGTTGTTGTTTTGAGATGGAGTCTCACTCTGTCTCTCCCAGGCTAGAGTGCAGTGGCACGATCTTGGCTTGCTGCAAACTCCACCTCCCAGGTTCAAGCAATTCTCCTGCCTCAGTCTCCTGAGTGGCTGGGATTACAGGTGCCAGCCACCACACCTGGCTAATTTTTGTATTTTTAGTAGAGACGGGGTTTCACCATGTTGGTCAGGCTGGTCTCGAACTCCTGACCTAGGTGATTCACCAGCCTTCGCCTCCCAAAGTGCTGGGATTACAGACATGAGCCACCATAATCAGCCAAAATTGTCTAGTTTTATGTATTCTAAATACTTTTATAAGTTCATGGAGAAAAATTCAGAAGGACTCCTCTCACCATCACCATATATCCAGGTTTGGGCACCAGAGTGAAGTTTGACTGGTCAGATGCTCTTGCCCAAGACTATGAGTCCTACAGGAAAGACACAGGAGAGGAGGAAATGGAGGGAGGTCGTCCACCCAGCAGTGGGAGAGCCTGACCAGACTGTTTTGGTGTGAGGCTGTTCCATTGCTCCTCCTCCTTTCTGGCCCCCTGGTTCTCTAGCTTTCAGGGACTCCTTCCAATACATTGCATTTTGCTTAAGTTATCCATTTAAGTTAAAATTGGTTTCTTTTCCTTGCAATCAGGAAACCTAAATGAAACGTGCCAGCCACAATTCAACATTTTCTCCCAGTGCAATGATGATAAACTAGAGTTGCTTATCCCAACTTCAAATTCCTGGGAGAACCAATCTGATTGGCCAGCTTGATTTAGATCTCCACTGCTGGGCCAGTCACTCTGGCTTCTGAGGAAGGAAGGCAAGGTCACATGATGCTAATAAGGCTAATGGGAGGCTGGCAGGGCAGTATCCACATTTGTTTATGTAGGCTGTGCAGTGGATAGCTCCAAGGGTCTCATTCACATGATAGACACTGTAAATACCTGTATTCATAATGAAACCATTTTAGCAGATGGCAATAAAGTACGCTGAGAAAGGGTCACTTTTTCCTAATACTCATATAGGTGTTCCATGGGATAGTGGTGACTCCAGGCTGGGCCCACTCCTCAGCAGGAAAGCGTTTGGTAGGCAGCTCTTAGAAAAGATAGCACAGGTTGGGTATGTCCCAGTGCTGTGTTCTACATGTTACACATAGTGGAGTGGGTCTTGTGCCCTTGATGTTTGGAGCACACATACCATATCCTCTTAATATGCAGTAACTGGCTATGAGGCACTCAATGTTTAGAAAGTCAAGGCTTTAGAATGAAAGAGGATGAGATGCAGACAAGCCAGGCCCTACTCTGGGAATTCAGAGCTGCTGTACAGACCAATCTCAGCCAAACCCAGCAAAAAGTTTATTTACTCTGCAGCTACCTTAAAGAAGGTTCATTCATTCAACTAATGGCTGTGTGTCAGTTCTGTGCTATGGGCTGGGAGCAGAACAGGAATAAGAGTCAGGGTCGAAGGGCGCGGTGATTCACACCTGTAATCCCAGCACTTTGGGAGGCCAAGGCGGGCGAATCACCTGAAGTCAGGAGTTCAAGACCAGCCTGGCCCACATAGCAAAACCTCATCTGTACTACAAATACAAAACTTAGTTGGGTGTGGTGTGATGTGCGTGTAATCCCAGCTACCTGAGAGGCTGAGGCACGAGAATCACTTGAACCTGAGAGGCAGAGGTTGCAGTGAGCCAAGATTGCACCACTGCACTCCAGCTTGGGTGACAGATTGAAACTATCTCCCAAAAAAACAAAAACAACAATGTGGGAAGTAGAAAAGTTCCTTTTTAAAGTGTGCTAACAACTTTGTTAAGCCCTATCCTATGTAGCTGTTAGACATGCCATGCTTACAGGCACGGGGTACGCTCTATGTCCTTGTACTTTAACTAAGATATCTGTGCTGGATGTGCTCACAGGCATGTCCCAGCTCTCCACTGCTTTTACCTGTTTAGAAACATTTTAAGTTAGGCGGGCGGATCACGAGGTCGAGAGATTGAGACCAACCTGGTCAATATGGTGAAACCCCGTCTCTACTAAAAATACAAAAAATTTGCTGGGCATGGTGGCACGTGCCTGTAATCCCAGCTACTCAGGAGGCTGAGGCAGGAGAATTGTCTGAACCCAGGAGGCGGGGGTTGCAGTGAGCCGAGATCGCGCCATTGCACTCCAGCCTGGGTAACAAGAGCGAAACTCTGTCTCAAAAAAAAAAAAAAAAAAGAAAAGAAAAGTTTTAAGTTGTTAGCCAATCGGGTTTTAGTTTAGATTGTGAGGTCTGGCTCCAACCAACAGAGATGAGATACGGCATTGAGGACAACCCCAAATGCATAAGGGATAAATTTATGTGTGTTCCTTTATTCATTGTACTCTCATGGCATGATGGCTAGTGGGAGAGCCCTTCCTGCAGTCCAGGAAGTAAAAATCGTGTTGCTGAAAGATCCTTTGTCCTAGTACTAATTTTTCTTTGCAACACCAAGCATCTATTTCCAACAACATGAAAAAAAGAGTCAGAGTCTAGTCTAGTAGGGGAGACAGTCATGGAGCAAATATTTACTAAGTGATGGGCGTTCTGGAAGGGAGCTGCCCAGGGTATTGGGAGAATGCTGGCACAATAAGAGGATCAGATTTATCTAGAAGTCAGGAAAAACCAAAGGGTGAGTGAAGTACAGCCTAGTGAAAAGCAATGTAGGCTAGATGAGGTGGGATTTTTTTAAGCTATAAGGCAAATTTCTGTTAGAAACTAAAAATTGCAATGTGTCAGATAAGGTAGAAGTTCTTCTCTCTCCCATAATGGTCTACAAGAGGATAGGAGTTCAAGACCAGTGGCAGCTTGGCTCCAGAAAGGCAGACCAAAATAACAGTGGATTACCCAAAGGAGAAATGTACTTCTCTTTCTCATATAGAGGTCCAGAGCTATAGAGGGCAGGTTTGGTGCAGAAACTTCTCCGTGAAATTCTCAGAAACTGTATCTACCAGGGCTCAACTAGGGAAGCAGAACCAGTGCAAATATCATGGAATTAATGATTATTTTAGGAATGAGACTTTGCACAGTTGTTGGAGGAGATGGAGAAGAGAAGGTCACAAAGGGAGTTGTAGGATGGTGGGAAAATCACTTCTCAGCCCTTGGAAAGCACGGGTTGGGGGTGATGGGGAGGAGATGAACTGGAGCTTGCTGGAAAATGAGGAAGCAAAGTATTATCTTGCTTCCTGGAGTGGAAGAGAGAAAGGGAGCTGCTATAAAAAATCAACAGAAGATTGTCGCTTCTTCATAGATCCTACTTCTGTGAGTTCTCTGCTGGTGATGAGGATGTCAGAGGAAAAAGCTGATCACAGAGTCAGGAAGAAGAGTAAGAATGAAGTGGAGGCCAGATGGTGGCTCATGCCTGTAACCCAGCACTCTGAGCGACAAAGTGAGACCTTGTTTCTACCAAAATAAAAATGAAAAAACTAGTCAGGCATTTTGGTACATGCCTGTGGTCCCAGTTAAACAGAAGGCTGAAGCAGGAGGATCCCTTGAGCCCAGAAGGTCAAGAGTGCAGTGAGCCATGTTCATGTCCCTGCATCCCAGCCTGGGCAACAGAGTAAAACACTGTCTCAAAACAAACAAGCAAGCAAAACAATCGGAACTCTGGAAACTTTGCATCTCTTTCTCATGACAACCTTCAGAAGCATAAAACCTTAAGACATGCTTTACTTCCAACTTCCAAATCTTGAGTAAATTTCCTCAGGCCAACTCTAACCCAGAATCATACAGGGAAGGGTATTCTGGGAAAAGCAGTCCCAGCTTAACCAAGGTGACACAGTGCAAAACCTCTATGGCGACCCAGACCCCGTCGTTCACCACTTGACATTCCCTCCTCCTGCTAATTCCTCCATTTCGGGCCTCCAGAGGAAGGAGTCAGCCTTGGGGAGTGGTATTTCAGGAGCAGCAGAACCTGGAGTGAAACACAACAGGTTCATCCAAAGGCACATCCCCTTCTTAAGTAAACTGGGAGGGAAGGGGTAGGAGAGGACGTTGGGGTGTGGCAGAATTAGACCCAGATAGTAAATACCTCCCCAGGTACATATCACCAGCCAAGGAAATGACACATCCAGAAAGAAAAACAATACATCTGAGTAATGTAATCCCTTTAAAAGAGAACCCCTAAAATGAAGAATCTATATGAGATGAAGCAGAATTAATGGACCAGTGAGAACAAGAATTTAAAATAATCCTAATAGGCTGGGTGCAGTGATTCATGCTTATAATCCCAGCACTTTGGGGGGCCAAGGCAGGCAGATTGCCTGAGCTCAGGAGTTTGAGACCAGCCTGGCCAATGTGGCAAAACCCCATCTCTACTAAAAATACAAAAAATTAGCCTGTGTGGTAGCACATGCCTGTAATCCCAGCCACTCAGGAGGTTGAGGCGGGAGGATCACTTGAGCCAGAGCTGGGTTGCACTCCAGCCTGGACCCTGCCTACATCTCTGAAGATACTCACTTCGTGACCCTGCGATTCTTCTCCTCATTACATATCCCAGAGAAGTGTGTGCTTGTGTGTATTAGGACTCTGAACCCCAAACTGGAAACGACCCCAATGTTCATCAATAATAAAATGAATATAGTATATTCAATGGAATCTTATACAATTAATGAAAATAAATGAATGACAACTACACACAACATAGGAAAATATTAAAATAGAATGTTGGCAACTTCACACCCATCAGGATGACTACTACTATATTTACCTCTTTTTTAAAAAAACTAGTCAAGCTTGGTTATGGAGGGAAACAATGTTAATCAGGACCTACTAAGATGGCTACTATATTTAAAACAAAACAGGCCAGGTGCAGTGCTCACACCTGTAATCCCAGCACTTTGGGAGGCTGAGGAGGGCGGATCAGCCTGAGGTCAGGATTTTGAGACCAGCGTTTAGATGGAGAAACGCCGTCTCTACTAAAAATACAAAATTAGCTGGGCGTGGTGGTGCATGCCTGTAACCCAGCTACTTGGGAGGCTGAGGCAGGAGAATTGCTTGAACCCGGGAGGCAGAGGTTGCAGTGAGCCAATATTGCGCCATTGCACTCTAGCCTGGGCAACAAGAGCAAAACTCCATCTCAGAAAAAAAAAATCAGAAAATTAGTATTGGCAAGGATGTAGAGAAAGCATTCTGGTGAAAATGTAAAATGGTGCAGCTACTTTGAAAAGTTAGGCAGTTCCTCAAAAAGTTAAAAATAGAATGATCATTAGATCCAGCAATTTCACTTCTCTATATATATCCAAAAGAACTGAAAGCAGCAGCTCACATAGATTCGTGTATTGCAACGTGCATAGCAGCATTATGCACAATAACCAAAGGGTAGAAACAGCTCAAATAGCCACCAGTAGGTGAGTGGATAAATAAAATGAGATACACATACAATGGAATATATTTAGCCTTTAAAAGGAAGGAAATTTTGGCCAGGCACGGTGGCTCATGCTTGTCATCCCAGCACATTGGGAAGCCAAGGCAGATGGATCACTCGAGGTCAGGAGGTCAAGATCAGCCTGGCTAACATGGTGAAACTCCATCTCTACTAAAAAATACAAAAATTAGCCAGGTGTGGTGGTGGGCACCTGTAGTCCCAGCTACTCGGGAAGTGGAGGCACGAGAATCACTTGAACTTGGGAGGTGGAGTTTGCAGTGAGCTGAAATAGTGCCATTGCATTCCAGCCTGGGTGACAAAGTGAGACTCTGTCTCAAAATAACAAAAAGGAAGGAAATTCTGACACATACCACACCATGGATGGACCTTGAAAACATTGTATTAAGTGAAATGAACACTTCATAAAGACACAAAAGAAATATTGCATGATTCCACTTTTATGAGATACCTAGAATAGGAAAATTCATAACGACAGAAAGTAAAATGGAAGTTACTAGGAGTTGGGGGAGGGGAGAATGGGGAATTACTGTTTAATGGGTACAGAGTTTCTGTTTGGGATAATGGAAAAGTTCTGGAAATGGATAATGATGATTGCATAACACTGTGAATACTTAATACCACTAAAATGTACAACATCGTGAATACATGTAATGCTACCAAATTGTACAACTAAAAAGGGTTTAAATGGGATCTTTAAAAAATAGGATATATATAGAATAATGGAATGTTATTCAACTTTAAAACAGAAGGAGAGTTCGTCATTTGTGACAACATGGATGAACCTGGGGGACATTATGCTAATGAAATAATTCAAGCACAGAAAGAAAAATATTCTATGATCTCACCTACATGTGGAATTTAAAATAGTAACATTCATGGCAGTAGAGTAGAATGGTGGTCACAAGTGGCTGGGGACGGGGGAAATGGGAACACATTGGTCAAGGGATACAAAATTTGAGTTTTGCAAGATGAATAAGTTCTGGAGATCTGTTGACAGCAATGTGACTATTCTTAACAATACTGTATCGTATATTTGAAATGTGCTAAGCAGCTAGATTTTTTTTTTTTTTTTAAGACAGAGTCTCACTCTGTCACACCAAGCCTGAATGCAGTGGCACTATCTCAGCTCACTGCAACCTCTACCTCCCAGGTTCAAGCGATTCCCCTGCCTCAGCCTCCCAAGTAGCTGGGACTACAGGCCCACACCACCACACCCAGCTAATTTTTTGTATTTTAGTGGAGACGGGGTTTCACCATGTTGGCCAGGATGGTGTCGATCTCCTGACCTCGTGATCTACCTGCCTCAGCCTCCCAAAGTGCTGGGATTACAGGCGTGAGCCACTGCACCTGGCAGAGGCTAGCTCTTAAGTATCCTTATCACTCACACATGATAACTATGTGAGACGACAGATATGTTAATTAACTTGCTTGTGGTGATTATTTTACTATGCGTATGAGAAATAAAAATGAAATACTGTAGACCCCCTCTTGGCTGAGCCCCTCTTGGCCAAGGGGACCCCAGAGAAAGCTTAAAAATTGAGTTCCTTTTCATGAAGGGATGGGAGGTCAGACACACTTCCTTATATCCCTTCCCTCACTAATTGCCATTAGGTTTTCTTCCCTTAGGGTTAAAGAAACCAGCCGGTTTGGAAGGCTCCATCAGCTGATATCAACTAACTGCCTAAGGCTGCCTCTAATTTTTTGTGGTTTGACACAATAACCAATCAGCATCCCTTCCTGATCAGAAACCACTGACCTAGAGTGGTTCTGGCCAGTCGGTGGAGGAGAGACAGTGAGGTTTTCATGTCCTCTGCATCACCTTTTGACGTCAGAGAGCTGAAACTCCACCCTGGGATCATGCCGTTTTTTGAACATGGGACCCATGAAGCTCAATTGCGCATGCACATGCTTCTCCTTTCTTAAATATTCACGACTCCTCCCAGAGCTTATTGAATATGTATATTGGCCACCTTGCTCAGCATAAATTCTTGTCTTACTCTTCCCATCCTTGACCCTTGAAGTGACCTGTCTGATAAAGCATTCATTTTAAAATTATTTTGATTTTTTTTTTTTCTTTTTGAGAAGGGATCTCACCATGTTGGCCATGTGGGCCTTGAACTTCTGTGCTAAAGTGATGGTCCCGCCTCAGCCACCCTAGTAGCTGAGACTACAGGTGTATGCCACCATGCACAGCTTGCAACCCAGTGAAATAATTTTCACTGATGAGCAAACTGCAGTTCATATAGGGCCCCTTTAGGATGGCCTCTGTCCCCTTCCAAGGGTGGATAAATCATCAGTTGATTGTAATGTGCTCCTGATGGATCCCATGCCAAGAGGATGAAGGCCCTGGTCATTCTTGGCCCTCCAGGAAGCAGGATCGAGACCTCACCTGTGCCAGGTGCTGAGCTGGGCACAGGTGAGGTCTCGATCCTGCTTCCTGGAGGGGGCAGATGGTGACCTAGTAACTGACTGGAGAAGCCCTCCAATGTCTGTGATTCCTCCACTGGAAATCCTTCCCCTGTCCCTTTTCTGATCTTGTCAGGTCATGTACCTGTCAGTTCTCAACCTCAGCCAAACTCCTCTAGGGAGAGAGGTAGAAAGGGAGTTCCTGACTTCCTGCAAGCCCTGCCTGAACCCAGGTTTATCTCTGGCTTGAAGCCATCTGTCAGGTAAAAGCTCCCTCTCTTTTTTTGGAGTTACCTGTATGTCAGCCTCATTATGCACTTCAAGATCTTCTATGGGTGAGGAGAGAAAAGGAATAAGGTGGTTTGTGAATATTCCTTTTTACCCCCGGGGACACCTGGTCCTTTCAACCATCCCATCAGGTAAGATGGTAGACCTTCTTTTAATCTTTACTTCATGGATGACGGTCATGGAGGTTATGTGGCTTACCCAAGGTCAACAACAGAGTGAGGACAGGACAGCAGGTCTGTTTCCCTCCAAAGCATGTGGCCATCAAATCTTTTCTGGAAGCCACTGGGGCAGTGATCATGGGGTTCAAAATGACAAGAGCACATCCCTAACTCGGGAAGCATATTTGGGAGAGAGTGCCCTTTCATCCCGTCTTGGAAGGGACTGGGGGTTTGGCTGGGGGTTAGCAAGTACAGAGAAAGGAGCCCTTCTGGCCTGGAGGGTCCAGATGTGTCAGTAGCCAGTGCTTCATCCCCACTGGTGCTGCCCTAGGGGATGGGCCCTGCGGATGCCCAGAAAGAATGGGAAGAATGAAGAAGGATCAAAAGGACATGATTGGGGGCTACTTGGGGGAAATGGCTCTATTCCAAGCATTTAGTGGAAAGAATCCTGGGCTTTACCAGAAAACATTAGGACAAGGTTATCAGAGCCACTTAGGCTCTGGCACACACTACGCTTAGCAGGGGCTGCAAATGTCTGGCAGATGCTTCCTAACGACTTTGTAAGGTGCAAGTAACCAATCTCCAGTGAAGAGAACTGGTACCTTGGGACAGACGGCACAGGCACAGGCACTGGAACACACAATTACGGGGCACGAGCTCCCCCTTGTGGCCATTTAGGGTGGTAGCAGACCTGAGTTCAGGCATCTAGGGAATTTCTTCCTCTCAATAGTGGGAACCGATGGAGCACACACAACGTTTTTATTGTGCCCTGGCTGGGCCATTTACCTCCCATTTTCACAGTGGCTCCTTTTCACCGGCGCTTGCCTTCCACCTTCAGGTGCTAGCTGAAGCTGCTTCCTTCCAGACGTGCCCCTGACCCCAGCTTCTGGGCCGGGTGCTTTGCACTGTTAAGAAGGCTGGCATTCTCTCCAGCACGTGTTGTACTTTCCTCTGAGGAGTTTACCTAATTGTCTTCACCTATGGACCCTTGCTTCTTCAGGCAGCTCGGTTCTCCTTAACATACCCAGCAGAGAAAAGGGGCTGCTGAATGACTGTTTGTCAAATGAATAAATGAACTAGAGAGCATTCCTGCACGCCAAGCTTGGTTACAGGGGCACCTAAATGAATAATGTGGAGCATGCATTGCCCAAGGCGATATTCACTTTAGAGAGAATGTCTGCAAAGACCATTAACCTCACAATCATGAGCACTTCCCCTTGGAAAATCCCAATTGACTATTATACTCCTTCATATTTCTGCCTTTCCCTTACTGTTAAGATACAGGGAGAGTGGAAACATGGGGGAATTTTGGGCCCTAACTTTGCGGTGAATTTTATGACTTAACTATCTGGAGTCACTGCAGGTCTTGGGTGTGGTCACTAAAGTTGGGAAAGAGGGTGCATTGGATAACATCACCCGGCAGGTGAACCCTGAGAGGGTGTGTAAACTGGCTGACTGACTTGGGGCCAATGTCAGCAGGGTCAGGGGTCACACCATCTATCTCTCAGTGTATTACCTTCTGT